CACACACATACACACACACACACACACACACTTACACACACACACACACACACACACACACACACACACACACACAAACTAGCGCGTTCAATTTTTTTTTTTTTTTCTAATCAATCAATCAATAAATCAATCAGTCAATCAAACAAACAAACAACACAGAAGACGAAGAAGAAAAAAAACAATTACCTTGGCAAGATTTTAGGACTCTAACTACATATTAGTCATGTAAAAAATGGAAAAAAACAAATCCTATTTTTCATTTATTTTATTATTATTATTATTTTTAAAATTTTAACCGATTTTCGTTTTTCATTTTTTACGAATGGTAAATGACTTCAAATTCAAAAAAAAAAAAGAAGGGGTTGTAGCGCTTTCAATACCCTACAACCCCATATATATATATATATTTTTCACTTATTTTTTGACCCCAAACAAAATATCCAAAAAATCGGGCCGCAGACTAGGCCTGGCGGCCCGACTTTTCGGGCCGCAGAGACTGAATTGCCAGCGGCCTAGGCCGCTGGTGTCACATAGCTGACTGGGCGCGGACGACTCCAAAATCCGTAAATTCGACAGTTGGGAAGCCCGCCCGAACGCAACGACCCCTCCAAGAGCCGCCCGAAGACGTCTGATGCTCGCCATGGCCCTACCAACATGCCGCCCGAACAACCAATAGGGCCGTCTCGTGAATTGCTGCCAATGGTAAACGAAGGAGGCCATTGCAGGACGTTGTCGACGACGAGGGGCCGCGATGTTCGTCTTCTGACCGGTGGACCACGACTGGACCACCTTTGACCTCCAGTTTTGCTTCTGGACTCGACGGCGTCTCTGCGTGAATCGCGGATCCTTGGGCTCCAAAGGACCTCGCGAGGTCCGTTGGAGCCGAGGACGATTTGGGTGGGAAATCCTCGGAGCCCGAGGATTTGTCCTCGGAGTGTTTTCACATTTTTTTCCCGAAAATTGGCTCTGAGGACAGGTGGAATGATGACAAAATCCTTGGAGTCGCGTCCCTGAGGAGTGTCTAACGATGCCCTAAGTCTCCAACCCTGCGGCTGGCCTCATGCTACTTCCATGAAGTTCCATCGATGGGATGAGCAAAATCGAATGAATCTTC